AAAACAGCCAAGCTTGGCAAATGCCTATGCATTTGTATTTCAAATCTTTATCAAGGTAAGAACAAGACACATTTTAGCCCATACTTTCTCGTTACCAATGCCAGTTACTGTCCTGATATCCTCCCACTAAAGAAAAGTGTTTGCATACTCTAGAACTATATGAGCAGAATTGTGCCACATATACGTGTTACATAGGACAAAGATTCTTTTAATAATATTCCTATAATTATCCTTGTTGTGCTTATATACGTAACTTGTTTCTTTTTATTGTTGCATAGTACTCTATGAAACAAAGATGTCTCAGTCTCATCACTGACTCTCAAACACATGGGGTCATTCATGGTGTTTCCAGTTTGAGCATTTTTGTGTGTCTTCCTGCAAGGGTACATTCGTGTCTTTTTGTGTGAACGCTTAGGAATGAAAGTGCTGCATTGTGGGGCTAAATGTTTGGTGGAAGCTTGGTTTAAAAGAAACTATCAGAGCATTTCTAGAATGGTCGATTTTACCACCAACAGTCTACAGCTGGTCAACATCCTAACTGACATATTTGTGGTCAGTTGTCTTAATTTGGGGCATTCCAGTGCCTATATTTGAATTTGCATTTCCCCGATGGGTGATTACACACAGCGTTTCCCAGGTGCATCTTGGTAACTGAATCTCTGCTACAAGAACTGTTCAAAATTTGTTCCATTTTAGAGGTATTTGTTCTCTGTTGTTAAAAACTAGGCATTCTTTGTATATCCTAAATACCATTCCTTTTCAAATATCTATTCTGTAGTTCCCAAAGTCTGTGGTCTATTAATTTTTTTTACTGATGTCTTTGATGAGCAAGTCTTAAATGGTGTGTGAGTGTGTGTGTGTGTGTGTGTGTGTATACGTGTGCATATGGAGGCCAGAGGTCAAAATTAAGTGTCTTCTGCAGTCTCTCTCCACCTTCCCTTTTGACACAGAATCTCTCATTGAGCCCGGAGCTCACCGATTTGGCTAGACTGGCTGATACTGAGCTCCAAAGCTTCCTTCTTCTCCCAGCTGCCTCTCCCAGCCCTGGGATCACAGGCATGCACTGCAATGCCTGGCTTTTGACCTGGTAACAGGAATTGAAATTCAGGTCCTCACGCTTGCACACAGCCTTCACCCACTGAGCCATCTCTGCAGTTCCAGGATTTAAAATTTTATTTCAGCCTTTGGATAGAGTTTTATGGTCTATTTTGGAACTAATTGTGAAGGCAGCAGAGAAACTAAATTTATAATTTTACAAAGTAAATCCCATAAAAGCTATTTTTTTCAAAGAAGTAGAAAATGTAGGTGACTTACACAACCAGCAGCTAAGATACATATCAAAACTATAATATTATTAATTAAGAAATGTTACTAGGTATGGGTAACAAAAAAGAAAAGCAGGTCAATGAAATATGAGTGCCCCAAATCACAAAGAAATGGATGTCCATACATGTGTGTAAAATGTACAGTAAAGCTAGGATTACAAATAAAGGAAGAGCTAGTTAGATTATTTAGCAAACACTATTAAGGAAATTGGTTAACTAGTTAAAGAAAAATGAATACCTATCTTATCACAATATATACCAAACTTCAAATACATTAACATTCTAAATGGAAAAGACAAATACATGATAGAAAATGTTTCTGAGCCATTTGCTTATAAGGTGTAACTGTCAAGACTGGGGCTATGACTCAATGTTAGACACTTACCTAGCATGTAAGGCCCTGAATCCAATATCTAACACTGATAAAGAATTCCTAATGTATGAAGCATGAAGAGAGACATAGGGTGACGTGACCACACTGACATCAGACAATGCCCTTGGATCAAGGACACTAAACTGTCAGGAAGGTGACACCTGAGACAGGTGTCACCCCAAACCAGACCAAATCACAGGCAACCTGGGGCATTGGTGGTGCACACATGCCTTTAATCCCAATACTTAGGAGGCAGAGGCAGCAGATATCTGAGTTCTAGGCCAGCATGGTCTACAGAGCGAGTTCCAGGACAGACAGGATCACACAGAGAAACCTTGTCTTAAAAAACAAAATTAACAACAAAAAAATCACAGTCAAAGATATGATCATGGACTCTGTGTGTGTGTGTGTGTGTGTGTGTTAATGGTGGCATTACAAATAACAGGAAGAGCCAACTAGGTTATTTAGTAAACACAATTAAGAGAATTAGTTCACCAGCTGGAGAAAAATGGTGAGCCTCATCTTACATACACAGAATTTCAAAAATATGAAAAAATAAGCTATAAGCTGATGATTTGAATAGGTACTTCAAAAGCTAGGAAAAACAAACGGCCTGGAGACATGTGGAAAGATGATCTTACTATTGGCTGGATAAATACTCCAAAAGATAAGACTACCCAAATGGTGTAGGAGACACCAGAACTCTGGGGACTATCGAATGCTCAGAAGATCTCAGAGAAATGACCCCATAGGCAGGAATAGAAGCATATGCTAGTTCAATGCAATGAGTGACTGGGAGCCTGGGAGCATCCTCCAAGACAAGTTGGCACAGGTCCACAAGGAGAATGTGTTTTCAGTACTGTAGACAAAACAGACGTGCTGAATTTGGCCACAGCCTGTGATGGAAATCTGTGAAAGCCATGTAAGAATCAAGAGCGACACACTAGATTTACCAACCACGCACAAATAGAACTTTAAGTTATAACCCAGAGTGGAGGGTGAAAATGGAAGAGGGTTTATTCTTCGGTTCGGATGTTAAAACGCACATGCAACACCATCCACTGCCAAAGCTGCAGCAATGTCAACTGAATATATTCAAGATGCCTAGGAAGGGTGCTCTTTAACACAGCAGAGTATCCAAGGGCTAAGATGACAGGGCAAATGCAGATGGAAGGGAAAATAACAAAAACAAAAAAACAAAACAAAGGAGGAGCTGTGAGTAGAATGCTGGACCTCTAAGTCTACAGATAGACAGACAGACAGACAGACAGACAGACAGACAGACAGACAGATAGACAGATATGTGCATACATACATAGATACATAGATCATGGATACTTATATAAATGCATAAATGATACAGACATACATACATACTTACATACATACATACATAGAATCATTCCTTGGGTACATTTTAAATTACCTATAAATCCATTGATCTTCCAGGTTCCATCTTATCTATGAACCTTTCAGAGGAGACCGACGTGGTTTTGTTTGTTTGTTTGTTTTTCAGGCATCTGGTGGGACCTCTCTAAGTTATTGAAATAATAACTACATTTAAAATGTCATTGTTATTGGTCAAAATTCCTAGTTCCCCAGCTTGATGGGAAGGACTTCAGCCAGAAACTGTCTGATCCTTCCCCCACATTCCCACTGATGAAACACATAAGTTATTCTCTTCTAAATTATTATTTTTTTTAAATTTGTTGCTGCTGTATCAAGATTTAGGGGCCAGTGAGATGACTCAGTGGCCACCTGAGCGTCATCCCTGGGATTCATATAAAGGTGGGAAAAGAGAACCAAGGCCACAGAGTTGTTTTCTGACCTTCACATGAGCAGTATGGCACGTGCACACCTGCTCTCACAAACACATCGTGCATTTGTGCACATTAATAATAAATACACAGTTTGTTTAAGGTCTAGGTTTGTAATTTCTACTGTTTGCTCTTTGAAAATAGGCTACTGTCTTCCTGTGATTCTTGCAAATATTCTATGAAACAATGCCAACAGTGTCCACTGGCTGGCTCAGCGGTTAGGGGCCCTTGTACCCAAGGCTGATGACCTGAGTGCTATCTCCACATCCCACAGGGTGGCAGGAAAAAAACCTGCCTGCGCTACTCCTGAGACTTGTCTTCTGACCTTCACCTGATCACCATAGCACACCTGCACACACACACACACACACACACACACACTCAGTAAATAAAAGAATAAATAAATGAATATGTAAATATTTCATAAAAAGAGGTAACAGTGATAACCTTTAAAATAATACTTAGAGGGCTGGAGAGCTGCCTCAGTGGTTAACAGTGCCAGCTGCTCCTGCAGAGGACCTTGATGTTACATCCAGAACCCATAACAGGCTTGGAGCCTACCTGTAACTCCAGCTTCAGGGGACACCCTCTCTATCTTCTCCTCCGGCCTCCATGGAACTGTACACCTAATGGCACTCATGCATACACTCTGCCCCACAAACAAACACATAAAATAAAGGAATACCCTACAGTATTTTTTGTTTGTTTGTTTTTTCAAGACAGGGTTTTTCTGTATTGTTTTGGAGGCTGTCCTGGAACTCGCTCTGAGACCAAGCTGGACCTCGAACTCACAGAGATCCGCCTGCCTCTGCCTCCTGAGTGCTGGGGTTAAAGGCGTGCACCACCAACACCTGGCTTTTTTTGTATGTAACCCAGGCAGGCCTCGAACTTGTGATCCTCCTGCCTCTGCCTCCTTTAACAAATCCTACTGGCATGTGCCACCACAGCTGACCACTACAATATTTTAAGAAGTTAAGATGAAAGTTGAGTGAGGGCCACCTGGGCTTGGTTGCACACCCGCTTTTATGAACTAGTGTCTTTATGAGCTCACTGATACTTTCTGTCTTGACACTGCAGTACTGATTGTTCAATGCATCATAGTCTTTGTCGCAGACTTTCGTGACTTAGAACAATGCACTGAAAATATAAATAAATTGCAGAGACGGAACTGGCCGGACGTAAAGTCCCTGGTCCAGCACTCGGCTGATTATATATAAAAGGGATTTAATGGTGATGGAGCGAATAAGAATCAGAGATGCAAACTCTGTTTCCAAATTGACCACTAATGACCTTCATCTGTAGAATGGCAAGCTATTTGTCAGGATCAAATGAGATAATGGATGGGGAATGCCTCTGTGAACTGCAGAATAAAAGAATAAATGGATATTTTAATTTTTATTTCTAAAATTGTGTCCAAGGAAATGGAAGGCAATATTTGCTAAAATGTTTCTGCTCACATATAAGAGGCCACTCAGTTACAAGCGGTCCAGGCAGTAAAGGGAGTTTATTAGTGCAATAGGCAAACAGTTCGGGGGGAAGGCAGGGGCCTGGCTTCCAGAGCACAAGCCGGGCCATGCTGTCCCCATCAGCTCCTCAGTGCTAGCTCAACAGGTCATACAATTGTCAGCGGCATTTGGGGGTCTATGTTTCTGATACAAATCCGGAAAAAAAATAGGATTACTCCCCCCGAGAGTGTAAATGAAACACTTGCAGGTGTCCATTGTGGTTTAAACAAATTCCCCCTGAGAGGCTGTGTGTTTGAACACACAGGTCCCCAGCTGATGGCCCAATTTGAGGAGGCAGAGCCTCACTGGAGGAAGAAGTCACTGGGCGAAGGCATTGGTGTTTTGTAGCCTGGACCCACTTCCTGTCCTCTCTCTCTCTGCTTCCTGGCTGTGGGTGCAGTGTGACCAGAATGCTCATGTTCCTGCCACCATTCCCTCCCCGCCACGATGGACTGTATCCCTTAAGCCACAAACCCAAATAAACCCTTCCTTCCTTCCTTCCTTCCTTCCTTAAGTGTTCTTTACCCGGCATTTTGTCACAGCAGTGAGAAAGCTAAGGAATGCAGTATCTAAGGAGCCTGACTTAGACAACGTGGCCATTCACCCCCTATCACCATAGCCAGGAGCACACACGTAATGATGGCACCGATAGGGGGGAACTGAGTCCCAAACAGCTGCTGCGCACAGCTTCTAGTCCCATCTCAGAAGAGACAACGGCACAGGCAGGCCATCCTCAGCGAGTTCTTAGGAGCAAAGTGAAGGCGACATCAGAAATCCCTTTTCCTGGAGTTATCTGGTAAAACGGTAACAAAACACAAACAAATAGGTTATAAAATGGCATTTGTTTATTTAATGTGTATGCACACATGGATGTCAGAGGACTCACTGCAGTTAGTTCTCTCCTATAAACAAATAGGTTATAAAATGGCATTTGTTTATTTAGTGTGTACGCACACATGGATGTCAGAGGACTCACTGCAGTTAGTTCTCTCTTTCAACCGTGCAGGCTCCAGTGGTTATTGTCGGGTGAGGCTCCATTAACCCTGCCTAGAGATAGGTCAAAAGTTGTGTTGAAATCATATCTGTATCTAGAGAGAAGATTCATAAATTTGCTGGTTGCTTTTTCAGTGCTGTGACAAAACATGTGAGAATAGAGGCTTATGGGAGCACAGAACATTTGACTGACAGTTCAAGAGGACAGAGTCAGTCTTAGTGGGAAGGCGTGGCAGCAGGGGGCATGGGGCAGCAGGGGGCATGGGGCAGCAGGGGGCATGGGGCAGTCGGGCACATTGCTTCTGCTGCCAGGAAGCAGGGGGAGATGAGTACTGCGACCCAGCTGGCTTCCTCTCTTTTTATTCATTCTGGGGACCACAGGCTGTGGGATGGTACCACCCACACTCACCACAGCTCTCTCTTCTGCAGCTAACCCTCCCTCTCAGACACACCCAGAGATGTGTCTCCTCAGTGATGCAAATCCAGTCACGTGGGCGATTAACTATCACCATAGCTCTTCTATGACATAAGCCAAAAAGACAAGAGGAAGGCAAAAGCCTGCCATGTGGATATCAATATGAAGGTCCACAGAGTGACACCCAGACATCTTTCTCTCTGAAGCCTTTGAAAGTTCTAGGATATTGTAATGTTTGATGACACCAAGATCTACTCTGAGCATTCATCATGTCAATGAGGTCTTCTTTGTATTCATTAAACTTCCTTCTAACTGTGGGTACACGGCCTTGAAAAGGTAAGCAAGACTCTCCAGCCCCGAGGAGTTGGAGGTATGCTGTTGAGCATATGGCTGACCCAGTTGAGCGAGCAAATGCAAGAACCCCCACCTGAGCCCCTGCCCACCCTGTGAAATCTCTCAGCTTTAGCTGATGGTTTCCAGGGAGAGCTGAATCCCATCTCAAGTCTCCCTGGTGCACGGTCCTCTGATTGGAGTGGTCATCTTCCTCTCCAGGCCAGCTTTGTACAAAGTGCCCTGCCTGCCTTGATTAATGGCTTTCTCCATAGAGCCCATCCTGATGATGATATGACAAAGCTCTTCTGTCCCCGCGTGTTAACAGTGCAGAGGGACCATTAGCTGTTGGCAAGTGTCCCGAGGCTGCTCTGAAGAAGTACAGGAATTCTAACTCACTGCACAGCATTCATCAAAAAGGGAAACAATAGACTTTTCAGAATCTATCCAGATAAGCATGCTATTCTCTCCCCTGTAGGAAATGTAGGAAAATAGACATCCCGCATGCAGGCAAGGAAAGGCCTTCCAGACTGTCCCATCTCCTCTGGTTTGTTCTTTCTTTCTTCCTTCCTTTCTTTCTTTTTTTCCTTTCTTTCTTTCTTTCTTTCTTTCTTTCTTTCTTTCTTTCTTTCTTTCTTTCTTTCTGATTTTTAGGTAAACACACACACACACAAGTGTCACGAAGAGAGAACTTTCCGCAGATCCTCTTGTTTTGAACTTTCTTACAGCCCCTTTAGTTGCCATGGATGATGTGTCACCAGAATCAGCAGGAAAGATGTAGTGTAAACTGCAGACTTGCTGCATCAGTTAGCGGGGCTGCTGGCGTCTAGAGTCTGAACCATTGGTAGCATGCTAGCATGGCTGATTACCCAACCAGAGCATTCCTCTTCTTTCTATCATTTTTATTTGCCTAGCAACCCCTCTGTGGCATATATACATACATATTTATGAAATCATATATACATAAGTAATAATTTATATATAATAATAAATGATAACAACTTCAACCCTCCCCTTGTACTATTAGTAGCTCCTGGCTGGTTTTAGTAAGCTTTTAGTAAGCATGATTTTAAAAATGGGAGTATTGATAGCCCTAAGGGTGTGGTAATGGCAGCTGAGGTTCATTGTGGAAGGCAGTCTGGAAAGAGTTTAAGAACAATGGAAGGGGAGACATAATCTTATACATAATCAGTCTTTACATATCAGCTACAAGCATACTAGAGAAGTCAGGCATGTCAATCAAATCAAACTGCCAAACTGCGGTACTCTGCTAAGTTTACAAAATGATGAACACAACAATAATATATTGAAATTGCATTGTGGGAAATTCTTTGTTTATTTTTCTGGTTTTTTTGAGATAGTATCTCACTATGTAGTGTTGATTGGTCTGGACTTTACTCTCTGGATTAGGCTGGCTTTGAACTTGTGGCAATCCTCCTACCTTCTGCCTACTGTCCTAGTTAGGGTTTCTATTGCTGCGAACAGACACCATGACCATGGCAACTCTCACCAAGGAAAACATTTAATTTGGGCTGGCTCACAGTTTCAAAGGTTTAGTTCATCATTATCATGGTGGGAAGTATGGTGGCGTGCTGGCTGCAGGCAGACATGGTGCTGGAGAGGGAGCTGAGAATCCTACAGCCAGATAGGCAGGCAGCAGGAAAAGAATGCCACACTAGACCTGGCTTGAGCATCTGAGACCTCAAAGCCTGCCCCTAGTGGCATCTTTCCTCCAACTCTGCCACACCCATTCCAATAACACCACACCCCCTCATAGTGCCACTTCCTATGAGCCTGTGGAGGTCACTGTCTTTCAAACCGCCACACCTCCCTAGTGCAGGATTACCATTATCTACCACCTCACCTGGCACATTGTGGGTATTTACCTACTATTCTAAATGCTGGCCACGTAGAAGCTAAACAATATGCTTTTAAGAGCCCCCAATTTCCTGTCCGTGCATTTCAGTTAGTCCCATGTAGATGTGCACTATCCTAGACGCCAACCAGGAAGATAAAAGTGATGGTACTAATGGAAAATTCAGAGAGGAAGAGACTCTTGTAAGACAGTTAGTTGCTACATATTATGCACTATTGATGTCTGGGAAACCTCAAATAGAATATTTTAATTAAATAAAAACTAGGGTTTAGGGTTTTTGTTTTGTATTGTTTCTTCTTTTTTTTTCTTTCCATTATTAAAAACAGAAATCTATGTTAAATCCACCAAGAAACTTCTCCCATGCTGGTTAGTTTCCATGGTGCTAGAAGGTGCTATACAGGCTTCTGGGGGAGATACGATTCAGTGTTCTCACCCTGCATATTGCAATGACCTGCAGACAGATTTTTACCACTAGTGAAATAGTGATATTTCTATTATGGGATTAAGCAACTACTTACTGATTGGATTTAAGGCCTGCTATCTGCTATTATAAACTTGACCAAAAGCCCATGACTGGGAGATCTTCAGCAGAGTGGGTAACCTATAGGTGTTGTTTAAATAGTCATGTTCATGTTATCAAACTGCCTTCTCAGTAATTAACGTTTATACCCATTGCTTTGTGCTACCCTCAGCCTTGGTCAGAGAAGCTTGTTTTTTTGTACTGGGTGGTTAAGCTCAAACTGCTGACAGTTGGTGACTGAGCAGTTATAGATGGACCATCAGTTTCAACCTCCCCCACCCAAGGCTCAAGGAATATCACTGAGGAATACGTAGAAACAATGGAAGAGCTGGGGGATGGGGAGGAAAGCTGTTGAGTGCTGAGTTCCAGACAGGACCTGGCTGTTGTACTCATGAACTCACTGGGGTTGCCAGCACATTACCAAGCCATTCAAAATTCCAGAATGGGTGAGGGAGGAGCTCCTGAGGCCCCACCACTAGATGTAGAGCTATTAGCAGTTGATGGCTGTTGAAAGAGAGACTATCACCTCTCTGAAAATGCGGCTCAATGGTAGGCTGCCCGTCTCCCCAGTGGATGGCCCCAAACACATGTGCATAGGATCAGCTCTAATTGGACCCAGAGAGTTATTAGCAATAACAACAACCTTAGAGGAGGAAATGAAGTTGAGAGGGAGACAAGTTTGTGGGTCCTAGTAGGGAAGTATATGGAAGTATAGATAAGACCAACATGCATTGCATACATGTGTGATACTTTAAAAAAAAGTTTATATTAAGCCTGTAAAACACAATGGAAAGCACATAAACATCTTTCCACATGTATTAAGAACTCTACAAAGTCATCAGAGGAGTCTTGGCTCAGTTGTGTGGAGACAGTATGATGGGAGATGTCATTCTGAAATCTATCTCTTATTGGTTGTTGAATAAAGCACTGTTGGCCAATAGGGAAGCAAGATAGGTGAGACTAGGAGTTGAGGAGGACTCTGGGAAGGAGAAACACAGGGAGTCATGATGTAGCTGCCACAGAGGTAAGAAGTCCGGACCCTTTCTCCGGTAAGAGAAATACTTAGATTAACAATTGTGGAGTAAATACTTAAGTCAGAGATAGCCAGTAAGAAACCAAGCAAATGGCCAACAGCTTCATAATTAATATAGCCTCCTGTGTGTTCATTTGGGACTGATGGGGCTCTGGAACCAGACTGGCTGGAAGGCTTTACCCAACAACAGTGGATTCAGGGTACCAGATAAATGAGTTCTTTCCACTATGTAGTTACTTCTAAGCAATTACAAGAAGCCTCATTAGACCACAGCCAACCTTTGAACACCTCATCTCCTTATTTCAAATTGCATTCATGAGTGTTTATTTTTTATTAACTCGGCAGCTAAATCTGGGCCGGCGTAGGCAGTTGGACTTGGGTTTCACTTCCAACTCCAAATTGTGTTAGCAATGTGACTTAAATTGTCTTAGTTTCAATTTCCTTGTCTGCAAAAGACAGATAGTTACATTAAATATTAAACGGTATGATTACCACTACATTATATCATATGTAATTTATTTACATAAATCGTAATTACATATTACATGATATTATAGGCTCCTTCTAGGTGTGGTATGAGATTTATGCAGCTGGCAGTGTGGCACTCATTAACTCCTTTTTGTGTGCACTATCACCATCCTGAAGATCATTGGGAAACTCCTACATTGGAATCTACAAGGAAGACTCCAGCTAAGACTCCTAGGATAGAGGATACTATACTGGCCATCTCCTATGATCAGATTGGTGACCACCCCAATTGTCACCAGAGAGCCTTCATCCAATAGCTGATGGAAACAGATGTAGACGCATAGCCAGCCAAACATAAGGCTGAAATGGGGGAATCCTGCTGAAGAGAAGAAAGGATTGTAGGAGCCAGAGGGTTTAGGGACATCACAAGGAAACCCACAGAAACAACTAACCTGGCTCATAGGCACTCACAGAGCAGAAGCAACAACCAGGGAGCCTTCCTGGGACCAACCTAGGCCCTCTGCATATATGAGACAATTGTGTAGCTTGGTCTTCTTGTGAGACTCCTAACAACAGGAACAGGGGCTGTCTGTAATGCTTTGTCTGGCTTTGGAACCTGGGTTGCCTTGCCCAGCCTTAATACAAGGGGAGGTGCTTAGTCTTAGTGCAACTTGATATGCCATGCTCTGTTGATACTCATGGGAGACCTGCCCCTTGCTGAACAGAAACAGAGGAGGAGTGGATATGAGGGGGAAGGGACAGGGGAGGGGTGGGAGGAAAGGGGAGAAGGGAAACTCGGGTCATGATGTACAATAAATAAATAAAATCTTTAAATAGAAACATTGAGTTGAACACTTACAAGTAAATAGAAAAAAGAAAACCCTTCACTTTCAATGAAGAAAATACAAAAGCATTCCTAAGCATAGTTGGTAAAGGCCAGCACTTCGTAGGGCTTGGATTTGCTTCTATACATAAATACCTTCTAGATGAATGTAAGCCAACACATCACAAAAGTTAGGATTGTGTGATAAAGAATGAGAACCCGGAACAAAAGCATGTAGTGAACCCACAGAGCAGGCTTGGGTCCCTGGTAAAAGCTCAACAAAGTGTGGACAATGAAGGAAGATTCCAGGCTGAACCAGGCTAACAGTTACTTTCTTGGGGTATGTTAAAAAGTCACTAAAGCCTCCTTGAGACTACGAGTTTCTATAGGAATTTACTGTAAAACTTTAAATGTACAAATAAATGTAGATGCACATGTGTAATCAGTGTAGCATATGTCATTCTTAGGTAATAATTTCTTGCTTTGCTTTGGGGATACAGTACTGTTGGGACTGGAACCCAGGTCTTAAGCATCCAGACAAGAGTCCCATCCCTTAGCCAATTCTTTTTTATGTTATCAGAACACCTCAGCATTAACAAATCTGAGGAAGCACAGGCAAGCAGATCTCTGTGAGTTCAAGGCCAGCCTAGACTACAGAGTGAGTTCCAGGACAGCCAGGGCTACATAGGAAAACCCTGTCTCAAACAACAATAACCCCCCCAAAAAAACCCAAACTGAGTTGCGTATGATGATGATTAACCCTGGTTGTCTACTGCAGGGTTTAGAATCACCATAGAAACAGGGCTCTGAGTGTGATCCGTAAGGATTTCCAGAAAGGTTTAACTGAGGAGACCTGGCTGAATGCCAAGGTCAAGAGGGGCAGTCCAGCTGAGCAACCTCCTCTCTCTGCTTCCTGACTGCAGACACAGTGTGGTGAGCTGCCTTACACTGGTAACACTGCACCCCTCACATGCCCCTTCCAAGGGTAATTCAAAAGAATTCCTTCCCCAGTAAGTTGCTTCTTTCCCAGCATGTGGTCACGGCAGGGAATGCACCAGCACTGATAGGAGCAGATACACAGATGGACCTTGGCTGACTGAAGGTCCTCGGCACTGTGTGTTACCTTTCAGGCTGCTTCTCTCAACCCTGAACTGAGCTGTCTCCTCTGGGTGACAATCAGACAAAGGCATCTTGTAGGGACAGTTAGTGCATAAAACAGCATTAGGTATCATTTCCTGGAGAGCATGGAAATCTCCCAGCAGACATGAGTCTTACCTATTTAACCAGCAAGGAGACACAACAACCAGTTGTCCCAAAATAAGAAACATTAGCAGTGGTTTCTTCCTGGAGACCTAGGGAAGCATCCTCACCATCTTCACTGAGTAATCAGCCTAAAGTGGCATTCCTGTGGAAACAGGAGCCCTGGCCAAGGCTGCCAAAATCAGCATCATGGGGAGCAATTGCAGCCCATAGAGCAGGCAGCCTCTACCCCACTGCAATCAGGAGAAAGAAAACACTTCATCCCAGGAGCCTGAGAGATGCCTCCTTCCCCTAAAGCCCTCTTAGCACAACCCTTCTGGCAGCTGCTGATATCACCTGGTAAGCCAACGTCCGTGTAATTGTTCCCCTAGCTACAAAGAATCAACAACAGCACGGACATTTGTGAATGCTAATTCTGCACCAGCTACTGTTACAAGTGCTTTATCCTTCGCTACAATGTTTATTTTCCCTATAGTGCTATGACCCAGGCACTGTACAGAATTCATTTCACGTAGGCAATAGCTGAAATACAGAAGAGGGAGACAACACACCCAGGCCACACAGCTTGTGGGAGACAAAACAAGATTTAACAAAACAACAAAAGAAGCTGAACTTTGGGTATAACACCCACTGCCTTCTAATTTTTAAAAATTGCCCTTTTTACTTACCTATTCGGAGTCACATGCCATGGCACATGTGTGACAGCCAAAGGACAACCCACAGGGCTCAGTTTGCCCCTGCTACCATGTGGGTCCCAGGATGAACTCTGGTCATCACGCTTAGAGGCAAGTACCGTACCCCACCGAGCATCTCACTGGCCCTCAGCCTCGTTTTCAGCCACTCTCCTATCTCTTGAAAACTGCCTTATCTTCACTGATGGCCTCATCTTCCCTGGACCTGAAAAATGATCTGAGGTTCCTCAACTAATCTGCCATAAATCAAAAAGGAGTAGATAGCAAAAGCAATGGAGGCACTCTGAAGAGAGAGAAGTAGAATTGACAATTATCTAGCTTAACTCATCGACTTGTTAAATATCTTCTTCCCTTAATTTTTTAAATAGAAAAACAAAACATGGGCAGGCAAGATGGCTCGGCAGGTAAAGTTGTTTACTACAAAGCCTGATGACCTGAGTTCAATTCCCAGGACCTACATGGTAGAAGCCAACTTCCAAAAGTTGTTCAATGATCTGCACACATAGGTTGTGGGACACACACACACACACACACACACACACAGACAGAGAGAGAGAGAGAGAGAGAGAGAGAGAGAGAGAGAGAGAGAGAGAGAATTTAAAACTACAAAAAACCCACAAATTTTAACAGGGTCTAATGAAGATAAAGAGAGATCAAATTCTCACTGTAAATCTGATTCTTAGCAGGATGTGAAGCCATGAGAAACTTGGTGTGTGCAATTCTTCACAGACTAACTCACTATTCTGCCTGCAAAGTGCCAACCGATGTGTTGACGCCAGAGCCTCTTGCAATATTTTACCACAAAGCAATTGAACCTCCTCGGGCCACTATTACCAGGGTGCTACTCTCAGACAATGAAGAAGAGAATGATGGCTGGGGAGGCAGAAGGGTGAGCCTGCTCCACCCGAAAGCTAAGTACTTACTCAATTGGTAAATATTTATGGAGTGTGTCTGTGTGTTGTGAGCAAATGCTAGGAATTCTGCAGTAGCTAAAACACCTTGCTCCTTAAGGGGATAGTAGCAGCAAAGTTTGCTTGCCATAAAGGTCCAGGGGGTAAATAATAGACACAGGGAACCTGCCCCACTTAGCACTGCTCCCATAGGACAAAAGCAGCCAGAAACTATGTAAATGAATGAATAAGATTGCATCACAATAAAACTTTACTAGAAAATAGGAACAAAAACCAGGCAGTGTGCTGGCTTGGCCCCAGGGTTATAGCTTGGAAACTGTTGCTCTAGGAGACACATGGGGAAAGTTTCCAAGCAAAACTACTACTCTGTGTGGCTTAGCGTTCGGATCTATGGTCTCAGTCCTTGAGCACCGTGTCTAGGTGTTGGATCTTTGAATCCCACCTAGTTATTTGAGACTTTCATAGCTGTAACCCCATGACCTTTTAATGTTGGCTGTCACCCACAAAAGTCTGTAGCAAGCTGCCTTGCCCTTATCAATAACTCTTCAGTTATTGGAAATCCAGAAAACGTGTTGGGGTATGTTTTAGGGGTTCCTGTAAGGAAGGGTTTTTCTTTCTCGTGCTGATTGTAGCTTATATCTAAGTACTGAGGTAATGTTGGTCATTCTGTTTTATATCATTCTTCTAGCTTTTAAGCCTTCTGGGACCTGTCATGTCTTGATTTACTTTCTGTGTTTCCTCTAATTCTTTTGTTCTAGTAGCTATGTTAGTTAACCAGGTATACACAGTACCTCTTCATTCCTCACTGTAGACCAAAATGACTTTAACATTCTCTCTCTCCCTCCCTCCCTCCCTCCCTCCCTCCCTCCCTCCCTCCCTCCCTCCCTCCCTCCCTCCCTCTCTCTCTCTCTCTCTCTCTCTCTCTCTCTCTCTCTCTCTCTCTCTCTCTCCATTCTTGCTCCACTTCCAGGATGGAATTTTAGTCAGTTATCCTTATTTTGAGAATTTAAAAAGATTTTGTTTTGCGTTGTTTGATTATGTGTGTTTCTGTGTGTGAGCCTGTGCTCATGTGACTTCAGTGCTTGTGGATGCCAGAAGAGGACATCAGAAGCTAGAATTCTAGGTGGTTGTGAGGCACCCCAAGGGATGCTGGGAACTGAACTGTAGTCCTCTACAAGAGGAGTGTGTGCTATTAACAGATGAACCATCTCACCAGTAAATTATCTTAGTACATTTGCATAGTGTTTATGTATGCTGTATTTCATACTTTCTTGTGAGCTTTTAATTGATGCTTACACTTGCTTTTTATTTATTTTAATTATATTTTATCTTCATGTATTTATTTACTTATATTTAATTCCTGCATTCGTATTATCTACTGGAAACTGAGTATCTGTGTGTCCCTCCCCCCAAATATGTTGAAGCCTACATATTCAATCTAATGTTTTCAAGAGTTGACCTCCGGGGAGGTAATTAAACCACCAGGATGGAACCTGGTGGATGGATTAGTGTCTAGATTAGTTACTTTGCTTGTTGTTGTGACCAGATACCCAGGAAAAAGCAACTTAAGGAAGGAAGGTTTATTTTGGCTCCCAGTCTTTCAGGACAGTCCGTCACGGAGGGAAGGAATGGGGTGGGAGCCTGAGGCAGCTGGTTGCACCGCAGCCCGGAAGCAGAGAGATGCATGCTACCACTCAGCTTGCTCTCTCCTTTTCATTCATTCAGTTTTAGCCCCCGACCATGGGATGCTGCTGCCCAGATTCTGGAAACCCAGACCATAGGACAATGTTGCTCTTATTCAGGGTGAGTCTTCTCAATAGAAGCAGCCTCAACAGACTCACCAGGAGGTACGCTTCCATGGTGATTCTTAAGTCCATTAGTTGTCAATGAAGATTAACC